AAGAATTTCTGAATCATCTTTCCTCACATCTTCAACAAAAAGGTCAGTATTTTCATCCATCATGTTATAGTGATTTGGAAAAACATTAAGATCGGCATCAACTAAAGGTACAGGTTGTAATGATGCGGAGTGTGCAATATTAACAGGTAGGTGAACTGTGAGGTCTTTCCTAATCAAGTGCAATGTATGTAAGATTCCATTTAATAAAAAAAAATAACCCCCGTAAAAGTGCGTATACGCGTATACAAGATCCCCAATATAATAGATGATTGGATTTCTAATAAATAAATGCGAACTTTTTCAACAGTTTAGACTCTTTATTTTAAATGCAAAATGTGTATGCACTTTAGAATTTTCCTTATTACGATATAAACGCTTAATCATGTACCGTACTATACTCAGGTCTTGTATACGCCAATTTACAGTAATATAAAACGATACATACGTAAAAGGACCTAAATACAATGATACAACTACATAGCATACGACTTCGAAAAGTGCCGTATTTCTTATTGACCTTACATTTTTCTATAAAATTAATCAAATATATTAATTACCAATTAAATAGATCATTAAATAAAGTCGATAACTAACCGGGACATGAATATGAACAGTTGTAGTTCGATCTTCGCCACAATCAAAGCAGAAATCTTTGTCTTTGAACCATTCTTCTGCTACAGTTTCACCAACAATTTTAACTTCATCAATCTCTTTTTTAGATTTATTTGCAAGAATGAGAAGTCGCTGTAAAATTGCTACTTTGATTCCTTGAACCTACATATAATCCATTTTGTTATGTAAACAATATCACCGAAAAAATTTTTTTTTAAAAAAGAATGAACTTACTCGTCTTTTCGTATCGTTTTTTACCCTAACTTTGACGTTGACATTTCCACCACTTTGGAATAGAATTTCAATTAAAGAACTTTCAATCATAACAGCGCCAGGTCCTCCCATCCATAATTGTTTCATATTAACAGCATCCACGGGTGTTTTGTAAAGAGGATTGTCACTGTCCCAAGCCTCGACAACAAATGCTTCCTTTGATTTAAATAATGTGTCTTCCTTGTTATCTTTGGTAACGTTCATAAACTGAACCACTCTATATATCATTCAATACTTAGTGTAAAAAGCTAAAAATTATCAAGAGAATGTGAAGAAATATATTATTACCCGGTCACAACGTATTTTAAACTAGCATTATTGCCATATTTCACAGAACTTGGGGCATCAATTGGAATCTTGAAAGCAAACGGGAAAGTTGTTTTTCCTTTCTTTGCCGTCCAAAAGCCATTATCTTTAGGGCCATAAACAGCATTAGATGGAGGTAAATTTGTACTTTGAAACTAGAAATTTATATCTGGTTTGTACAAAAATTATACTGCAACAAGTTATAATGATTATAAATCTTGAA